GAGAGAGAGAGAGAGAGAGAGAGAGAGAGAGAGAGAGAGAGAGAGAGAGAGAGAGAGAGCGGGAGCGGGAGAGAGACACAGAGAGAAGAGAGAGATGAGAGAGAGAGAGGGACGGAGAGAGGAGAGAGAGAAGAGAGAGGAGGATGAGAAGACGAGTAGAGGAGGGAGAGAGAGAGAGAGAGAGAGAGAGAGAGAGAGAGAGAGAGAGAGAGAGAGAGAGAGAGAGAAGACTCACATACAAATACTGAAATAGGGACATGATCAGAGGTCTATACGCACGCACGCGCACACGCACGCACACACACACGCACGCATGCATTCACACACGCACACGCACGCACACACACACGCACTCACACACGAGTACATTATTGAAGTTTTACAGTTTGAATACTTGATCACACTGCGCGCGGTCGGGATCAGCGTACTCTACTGGTTGCACAACATGCGACAAACTTCTTGAGATCGCGCGCGCGCAACATTCCGAACGCAATTCGCAACCGATAGAGCACAAACCAGTTTTAAAAACCTTGATCCATCTGACTACATGTCGTGTGCGGATGCTCGCAGAGCAACGACAGGCAAAATCTCAAGCCGCCGTGTACATACTACTACCGGCCATGCCAAAGTGAGCAGCCACATGCTATAATAAGAACAGGTTTTAGTGGAATGCATCAAAATACATCCAGCTGTTTTTGCGCGCCGCACCGTTTTCTAAGCAAATACGCGTATATATGCTAAACTCGCCACGGATTCTGGTCTGAAGCGAAATCGGCCCATCAAGCATGCACGATCTCACATCTATTGACACAGGCGTAGCATTGTGGCAGCCCAAACTATGGCACCGCCAGTTCACACACACACACACACACACACACACACACACACACGCACACGCACGAACATGCACACACACTCATGCGCATGCACACACATATATATGCACACACGCACACGCACACACGCACACACACACGCATGGACGCACGTACACACACACACGCACGTGTGGACGCACGCACACACACACACCCACAATCTACGCAATCACTATACCCCTAAAAATTTAAACTTTCCTGCCATTTAGTTGAAGACGGTCGCTAAAGTGCAGTTTAAAAATGACCGGACTCTCCCATTAGCATACATTATAAGTCATCATCGCAAAGGGCGACCGAAAGAGAAACTCGGACCATGGCGCCCACCGGTCAATCCTCATCCGCCATGGTCGGCAGGGTAATGAATGAGCGATGAATCGCCGCATGAATCCGTGTACCAACAGCAGCCGGCGAGGAGAGCGCGGCAGCGACAGCGAAACCGATCAGAAAAACATAAAATAGCGGCGGCTGCGGCGACCAGAGCAAGTAAAAGTACTTTGTCAACAGAAATAGCGTCCCGGAGAACGTGCACGATGCGAACGCTCGCGAAAAAGATTTACGCCGAGCAAGACGAGCGGGGGAGGGGGGAACGTTAGGATCCCGCAAACGGCGACATGTGACGTCGCCTCGCCGGCAAAGTGCGTCTCGATTTTCCGCCGCCGTGTAGATTTAGTTCCCGTGGCTGAGCCCCAGGCGATCAGCAACTTCAAAATACGGCACAGACTTCCGTCGTGCATGTACGCTCGCATTTCGAAACACGTGTGAAAAATCGAGACTGCAGGGACTATTTTCGAGCAATTTCCTCGAACGTGCGATGTCAATCGACCTCATCTTTGACAGAACAAACACAGGAGCGTGGTGGTAGTTTAAACAGAATTATTATTTTATTTTTAAAAAAGGAAAAAAATTCAAAATTATTAATTTATTATTGAAAAAGGGTTGTGTCTGCTTAAATGGAACTGGCACATCTATACCTTATTCGACATTATATTGCAACACCAACATCCATATAAATTTGCGCTCGCACGTGCACTTGCAAATAATTTAAAAAGTGGCAAATTAGCAAATACTCAGTGAAGACTGAAAAACGTCTACAATGGTGATGGATGGCAATTCTCACTAATTTCTTGCTCCCAAAAACCAAGCGAGCATCCCCACTAATACATGTGGATTATTAATACTAATAATCTCATGACCATCTCCTACCAAAAAATAAACGAGGGCCACCACCGCCACATATGACTCGAGCACCGTCTCCTGAGAAACAAGTGAGCATACTCACCACCACACGTCTCACGCACCCATTTCTCACCAAAAACAAGTGAACATCCCAACCAGCACATATAACTAACATCCCATCTCCTCGCAAAAACAATCGAGCATCCCCATCGCCCACCGGAAACAATCGAACGTCCTCACCACCACGCACCGCTCGCCCTCCACCTCCCACCGAAACTCACCACCAGGCGACACCGTACCACACTGAAAAACAAAACAAGCGAGCATCCCGCGCCAGCGCCGCGCGCGCGCGTGCACCTACCTGTTTGAATTGTTCTCGGAAGGACCACGTCTCTGCGCCGCCACCCTCGTGCGACCCCGCAGAGGAATTCGGAGAGGTAGTGTTGTGGGTCGCAAAGTGGCCTGAGCTAGGGGGCGCCGCCGCGGCGACGGGCGGCGGCGTCGACGCGGAGAGCGGCAGCGGGCGCTCGACGGCGCCACCTACCGCGCTGGCGGCGGCGGCGTGCATGAGGTGACGGTTGGCGTGGAGCATCTCGGCGCGTCGCTGCTGTTCCTGCGCGGCGCGCAGCGCGTCGTTGTGATCGCGCAGCTCGCGCTCGATCTCCTCGCGCTCTTCACGCTCCTGCCGCTTGAGCCTCGCGAGAACCTCCGCGTCCTCGTCGCACAGCTTCGCCATCTTGTCGTCGGCGCCGCCGTCGTCGTCGTCCTCGTCGGCGTCGACGCCGTCAGAGTCGTTCACCTCCTCCGGCTCCTCCTCGTTCGGCTGACGGAAGAGGAAGAGGAGAAACGGCGTGAGAGCGTGAGAGAGGGGATGGAGGGAAGGAATGGAACTAGGAAGTTTCGGAGAGAGAGAGAGAGCGACAGAAACAGGGATGGAGAGAGGGAAAAGGAAGAGCAAGAGGGTGAGGGGGAAGACATGGGCAATGGGTGAAGGGGAGGACATGGACGATGGGTGAAGGGGAGGACATGGACGATGGGTGAAGGGGAGGACATGGACGATGGGTGAAGGGGAGGACATGTACGATGGGTGAAGGGGANACACACACACACACACACACACACACACACACACACACATTCACACACACACGCTGTGATTATTGTGAGGGGGTTAAAGGCGTTTGTCATATTCCTTCTCCTTACACACACGTCGGTGTCCCTACGTAAAACCTTATCGATATCGTCACTGTCGTCGTCATCGTCATGGTCATCGCCAACACCAACATCATTACTAGCGTCGTCACTCATTATCGTTATTTGCATGGTCACTGCTATGGTCATACCTATTGTTATCGTCAGTTCAGAATCATCGTTTATCATCATCATCATCATCATCAGCAGCAGCAGCAGCAATCACCGGCGTCCCTATTGTCATCGTCATCGCAATCTTCATCGTCATCATGATCGTCGTCGCCATCATCATCATCTCACTGTTTTCTACCTGGGATAACTGGTTGAGCTTCCGAGATGTCGTGACCAATTTCGTGAGTGACTCGAAATTCAGAAAAGCGATAACTCGAGTAGCTTGTTAGTGTGACAATATTTGACGGCGCGTTCCGTATTCATCGATAAATTGTCCCTAACGCGCGCGTGCCACCGGAAGACGAAGATATCATGTAACAGGCGCCTATCTAGAACAGCGCATTCTATAGTGGTACGTGCGACACGTGTACGGGGAAGGGGCGGTGGACGTTTCAATGTCTAGCCCCTAAATTAAATTCACTTCCCATTGATTTTTATTCGACTAGCATGCAGCACATAGCACATACGACCGCACAGCACAGACGACGCTCTGCTACCGAGTTTACCGGTCATTGTAATAGAAACTCAGAGCCCACGTCAGCAGCCAACCCAACACTCAGATGTATCGTGTGCGTATAGCTATAGCATCGTTCTAACCTTCGTATTTGTACATTCTACAGTTAGACGTCAGCAGACGACGTTGTCAACACCTCGTCTCCACTCACACTTTTACCTCTTTCTATTTCCACCTTTTTCTTGTTCTCCTCCTCTACTCTATAGTCTTTTCTTGCGCTCTCTCCCTATCTCTCTCTCTCTCTCTCTCGCTCTCTCTCTCTCTCTCTCTCTCTCTCTCTCTCTCTCTCTCTCTCTCT